AAATATATGTAAATGATGTAATTTCAAAGTAAAATCATGTATACTTACTAGATTTCACGAGAAATCACTGTAAATACTGTAATTTGATGTAAGAAGTATGTATATTTCTCAGAGAATTACATCAATGGCTCAAAAATCGAGTAAGTTCACTTAATTAATGTCGTAATGTAATAATACCAAGACGATATAGTAATAATCACCTTGAGTAACAAGTATTTTTCATGCGATTTTCCATCGGTTTTTTTTTAGTGCAAATCTCTTCGCGTTATCGGATCGGTTTTACTTGACGTTATGTCAATAATAATAGTATCACATTCATCAGTTTTTAGATTAAGTGAATTCATTGAACGTAAATTTTTGTTCACATTATCATTGAACGTATTTTTGTTTTACATCATCGAATAACTGCCTGAGTTTTGTGTGTGATTCCTTGATTATAGATGGTTGATCAAAATTTGCCTTTATGTGATTATGTATCATTATTCTCTTGTTTTCATCTCGCTCGCATAACATATTCCAAGCAACCTTATAGTTTGTTGCCGAGACTATGATTGACTGTATGATATTTGAATTGCTGAGCCTTCAAGAGATGGTTTCTAATAATAAAACTTTTGAATGTCCAAAATGTCTTTATTAGCATGTACCTGAGCTGTAAATGAATCCCTCAAGTCAAACAACCGAATATAGGAACCATCGAAACACGGCAACTTCATATTTGGTAGCTTTACTTGCGTTGATTTGAATCGACTCTCTTGTTTTGCATGATGAATATTATGATCACTCTGTATAACTGAATATGTCTATATCACATCCATTGCAATTGAAATCAATTCAAAATAATCGTTTTCGAAAGTATCAAACTCCAAAACTTCTGATAAATTCCAAAACTTCTGATAATGGTCTGTCTTCGTCTGATAATGCATCAATTTCAAATTCTTCGTTACTAAATTCTTTATTATGGTTCTGATTTCGGAAATTTTATTTCGAGCTGTGTCATTGTGTTGCTAGATAATTTTCTCACATCACTATCGAAAGATTTGAAATGAATTTTGAATCGAGACAGCTGCTCTTTCAAAAACTGTCATTTCTGTTTGAGTTCATCTACTGTTAACGCTATATCTATAAATCAAAGACCACGATTTCTGTATTGACACAAATAAAAAAATTAGGAATGGGTTATGAAGTGATAAAAAGAATGGAGTTTCTTGAAGTTCACTTTTGACTGTAGTTCTGCTGTCTATTTGCTACCTGCTCCTTTTGTTCACTGTTCCGCCATTTGGTTTTCGTCAGTTCAACAAGGACTCTTCGTTTCCGAGTCTTCAACCAAGTATAAAAGTTTCACCAATTCGCTGCATGAAATTTTTTCTACTAGTATAATGTCTCTCCAATTGTTCCACAGGTTTAAAACTGCCGAAATTATTGAGTACGTATTGTTCCAGTAATAATCCAACTGTATCATCCTGTATTATATCGAAAAATATAGCCAAAGAATCTGTATGTCCCAAATTCAGTCTATTCGTTTCGTAACTCACAACTCACAATTTCACACGTGTTTTCAAAAAGTTCATTCACTTGCTAGCTGCTGTGACCACATTCGGCTCGAAGGACCAAAATGTTGAGTTATAGTTTGTAGTGGACTGTAACTTGATTAAAAATGTTGGTTGTCTTGAGAAATAGGTATATTTATTTGCCAAACGTGTTAGCTGGGGTTTGAAGTGCACAATACAACGACTGCAAAAAGACTAATTTCTTTTTGACCTGAAGGGTTTTTGAGGATACGGCGCTCTTCGCCGGTCCATCTCTTGTCCACAGAAATATCATACCAAGTCTTGACATGGAATGATATAATATATGGAAATAATGAAATAGATTCAATCCTTATTCGTGTTCATAAATATCATCAAAAATCCATGTTTTAGGGTAACAATTAAAATAAATGAAATTGTAATATACTAAGAAAAATACATCAATAACATAATACTTTTATGTACAATGAAGTGTTTCATCTTGACTTGTTTTTCAAGACAGAACAGACAGGTGCATGATGAATTCAATAATATAAATGAATTGTGGACAAATTGAAACAAATTAGAGAGGATGTCTGTCTGAGATGTAACGTCAGTTTGCCTTTGTTGTGAGCCAAAATTGCTATTGACTTTCCCATTGCTTCCCGGTTTTTTTTCCTTGGTGTAACCAATGGTCTTTCGTCGCTATCTTAGGAGTCTGCAGATTCCTGACTCTTGGTTTATGAAGAGGAATCTCTTTCACTAGTAGAAGGTTGAACATCAGAGGTTCTGAAGGTACCAGCTGTAGGCAGATTGTCTCCAGCAATTCTATTGGTTAGTCCCATAATTGGAGCATGTTTCATAGAGAGGAACCTCATTTCTCGAGTATCGACCCATTTCAGAATAACAATTCCATATTCATCTTCGTGAGATATCATATGCCCTGTTCTCAGCATTGCTTGAAGAACTTCTTTTTGCATATTCTTCTTGTTAGATCGTACAGTTCCAGCAACATGTGTCCGCTTCTCGAGCATTGATCATAGCTTGTGTAAAAATTATATACGTATAATGTTCTGCCTTGATAAAGCAGTTCCTGGCATAATCTCAAACAAACATTTGATGCTAATCCAACTTCACGTTGCCCATTCGCTGACTTTCCAGCATAGACTTCAAGTACCTATGTATCACCATCAGTCGAACAAAGTTTGAACAGCTTAATTCCATACTTATGAGCTTTGTTTGGGATATATTGCCTGAATATCAAGCGACCTCTCCATATGGTACCAAAGTTCCATCTATGACAATGTCTCCATCAGGTTGAGTCACCGTTTCGCATTGTTTCATTGTCGTTAAAATGTATCAGAGTTAGCAGCAACTGATATCTGTTGCACAACATCGTATTTTTAGGAATATCTTGACGATAAATATCCTTGGTCGCCCAATGATCTGGTGATGTGCCCAATCGAACCAATCCCATCCACATTGTTAATCCCAAAACTTTTTTGATTTCTACTGGATTGGTAGGTTCCCATTTTTTCATGCGGATATATTTCTTCATTCCCTTCGATGCTATGGTTTGTGCTGCAAATCTGTTGGTTTCGGTAACAATAAGGTTTATGACTTCATCACCTACAAGGAGAAGGATTGTCTCAAGTAGAGTTATTCCAGTAGATAGTTCTTGAAGCAGTCCACTGAGACCGGTGAACTCGAAGTTCTCATGGCGTACGACATATTCGCTCCAATCACGGGAACATGATGGCACCTCGTTATGTTCTTCAATTTGGTCATCATCTTCATCCACAGCCTCTTTCATGGCCAAATCTTTAAGGGCTTCTTCAATGTCCGATGATTCTTTGCCATCCTCTTCATTAGATGGATCGAATCTGAATCGTCGAAATGCGCTCTCCAGAAGAAGATCCGAATCCCTCAAAGAATCGTCAGAATCAAAGTCACTCTTGTTTGGTATATTTAGTTTCCGAACTGAGGACTTGCAACAGAAAGAAATCATGCAAAAAAGCGTTTTTCATATTCGAAAGACGTGGCCACAAGCGCAAAACCTACGTTTTCTTCCTGCAGGGCCACTTGTTTCATGAATGAGATACATCAAAAGGAGATAGGGAACCTACTCAACATTCAACAAAAACACTTATTTGTTGGTAAAAAATGTATGCTGGTATTGAATACATCAAATATTGCAAAAAAGTAGTGTGGCCTCTGGCGCAAGTCATCCCTCCGTATCATCCCAAGGTTCCATGAGCATCATAGGAATTTCTTCTTGTATACTCCAAGGGATAACAGAACAAAATACCACCATTTATATCATTGTGAAAATTGTTATGATGACGTATCTCAGTACTAGGAAATCAATAGATATTATAGGCTTATTCAAGCAGCAGATCTTCGACTAACCCAATAGTTCATTCTTATATCGAAATAAACCACAGTGTCTATTCATGACGCGCGCTTTCTGATAAGGGAAAATCAAATCAGGCACCGACCGATAACAGTGTTGTGAGACGTTGCAGAATGATTTACATTCTACTGGAACATACACGTAATCATGCTCAACTCTGTTCTTTAAAAAAAAATAATATAACAGTTGATCATATCAAACATATTGAAAGTTACAAATCAATCATTTCTACTTCATACCTCGCCATCAGTGAAATAAAAAGAGTAATAAATGAAAAAATAGATGAACAGAAACCAGAGAAATTGCTTATATTCAAAATGATTAGAATTATACTAACAGATCATTCAGAATGAGCCATTCGTCCTTTTCATCTCTATCGTCTTCCGTTCTATCAGAAAAAAAAACAGGAACAATCACGAATTCAACATGATTCCCTGGAAATACTCAAAGATCCATAATTTCCACATCTTCCCCAATCATTGATCTGAAAAAATTCAAATAAATGAATAAATTTTGAATAGGGGAGGAAAAACCATACCAATTTATCAAATAAAAAAAAAATACTAACGAATCAGTCAGAAGAGCCCATTCATTTTCCTCGCTATCGGATTCTGTTCTATCGAAAAAGAAAAAATAATGAAAAATTCAACATAATTCACTGGTACTCACACATCAATAATTGGTGAATTTTCCTCTTTCTTCACCTTGACCTCATCCTCTTTCATCCTATGAGTGAGCTAGAAAATTCCAGGTATATTTTGTAATTCTCACTGTCTCAGGTACTGCCTGTACTTCGATCGGTTCGATCGGACGATGCCATACAGGCACATTGTTTATATTACTGAAATTGTTCCTAAAATTTGAAAAAGTATTATACATATTTCTGGACAATATCTTTTACTCACAGTTAAGACCACCACTCACTTAGGGAAGCTCTGCCTTCTGTGAAGTGAAATTCTGTGACTTGCTCAGGCACATCATTTATATCACTGAAATTGTTCCTAAAATGGAAAAATGTTGAAACGCGAAATCTTCAAAAACGCGTTTATTGAATATACTACTGAAATGACATCAACATGTTTTCATCTAACGCCATGTGAAGATTGGTTACTCTCGTAGTCCCTCTCTCTTCTCGCCACGCTGTCACGTCGTATAGTTCCAGACCCCGCCGTTAGTCGAGATTCCAGGGCCTGCCTGGCCCCTATCGCTGGATAACGGCCTCTCACAGATCTTGCTTGAGGATTTCATACTCCTGCTCGTCCAGGTCGTAACAAAAATATAAAACTCATACTCCCGTGGGTAGATATGGAATAATATGAACACAAAACGAAAACACAGGCACAGATTTTTCTTCAAATTTTATAAATATACAGGGTGTTTCATTGGGAAAGGTAAAAATTTCAACTGTGGATAGGGGTCACTGAGGAGATTTCAAAAAACGCATGGTTAATGGGTCTTCGACATCTTATAACCGGGATACGGGATGTTTTATCAATTTTGCCCATTTCTTTATTGTCTCATTACTTTTCAACCAACCTGTAAATCTTTTTGGAAATTGGTACACTCACTCAATCTATCCTGCTGAATTGATTGAGATATCAAAAAAAGATATAATCCAGGTCCGGCTTCACTTAAAATTTGCAAATTTTTTCTGCCCGAAAACAACACCCTATACATTTGAATTTCTCAATTTTTTTGCCATATCTAAAAAAAGCACCATAGTGTCTATTCAACGATGTACTTTTTATTTATGCACAGACGATTTTTTTATATTCATATTATGGGCACAAAATATATTTTTTGGTCATTTTGCGGTACAAAGTGGAATCAGACAAGAATTATGAATTTTATTACTTCCTATTCAGCATAGTCGACTAGTACGTTTAGAAGGAGTGTTTTATATTAGTTCTTGTATACACCTAGACTACCAGAAAAAGTTGCAGATTTGTATCAAGAACTAAGTTCATTCCATCGCAGTAAATCACAGAAAATCTTGAGAAGTCTGAAAAAAAATAACATAGTTTGAGAATGAATGAAAAATATGTATTTATCCAGTTATTGAAAAACTGAAACGATTATAATGAAGCTAGCGTGCTAGCGAAAACAACGATCATAACTAAATTGAAAATAGACAATACAAAACACAAAATTCAACATACAACACACCTACCCACTACGTAACAATACAATGAATGATGAAAAAAAGGGAAAACTCCCTCTAGTACACTTTCTATAACATAATAACTCTCATAAAAAAAAACAAATCACTACAATAATTGTTCGAAACGACCTCCATTCTGTTGGATACACATTCTTCCCCTCATAGATATGTGGTTCACAGATTTCCTGATGACATCTGGGTTATTCTTCATTTCTCGATAGGCGTTTTCTATTCTCTCAATCAGGTCTTCTCTACTATTTATGGAAGTAGAATAAACTTTGGACTTCAGATGACCCCAAATATAGTAATCTACAGGATTGAAGTCCGGTGATCTTGCAGGCCAATTGATAGGACCACCTCTGCCTATCCACATATTAGGAAAATTTGTATTCAAAAATTCTCTCACAATAATCCTGAAATGCGGGGGAGCACCATCATGCTGGAAATACAAACCAGCCACGTCTACACCTGCATCGTCTAAAAAAACTGGTAAGATATTCTGTAAAAAATCCAAGTAAACTTCACCAGTCAGTGTTTGAGGGAAAATATGTGGCCCCAATAATTTATTGTCATAAATGCCGCACCACACATTCACTGAAAATTTATACTGTGAATGGGCTTCTCTTGTAGCATGTGGATTTTTCACCGACCACATATGCGAGTTCCATAGGTTAAACACACCATCTCTAGTGAACTGAGCCTCATCGGAAAAGATACATCTACGTATAATTCGTCGGTTTCTGATGATCCACCTGCTAAAATTCATTCTCTGAATTTCATCTCCTGCCTCTAGCCTTTGTACTTTTTGAACATGATATGGATGGAAACGATATTTTTTCAGCCGTCGCCATACAGTTGTATGAGGTACATTAAGAGTATGACTAACTCTTTGTAATATTTTCATTTGCTAATATAACTTGCCTATATCAAACGTTGACTTTTTCATGGTATTTTCTACTAAAACACTAGAGAAACTCTGTAGATATACACTGTCGAATTTATAAACCTTCATTGATAAATTCAGTTGACATAGTTCAGAATTTAACATCTATTATTAAAGCGCCCTGTATATCACTTCTCATCTTGTATCCAACAGAACGCTCACAGGTAGTAAACTGAAACAAAAAGAAGTAATGAATTAGTCAGTAATATAGTCAGTAGAAAACAAACACAAACATAATTTATTACATTCTAGGTACCTACTTGAATAAACCTGTATATTCACATGCTGATGTAAAATGGGAAATCTTTGAAAAATTTTGATTAAAGATTTGGTTTCAAAACCTTGGGCTACAATTGGTTCAACCACAGTTATAATTTTGAAAATATCATCATCAAATTTGAATTTTTTTTCTTATTTGAGTGGCAAGTTCAATATAAAATTTCAAGCAAGTCTTGTAGAATTGTTCTATTTCAGTTACTTCAACGTTTTCAGATTTCAGCTGTTGAATACTCTCATCAGCTGTTATACCAATATATACCTTTTGAAGAGGCACGTAATTATGAGGATTTGAATGGTTGAAGGAAAAAACATCCTCATTCTTGAAATGAGATAATACTAAAAAATTAGAGTATATTGTTTTCAGTAGTTTTCGAGTCTCTGGTTTCAATCTGTTTAAGAGTGGTGTCTCTGCTTGAAATAAAATATTGAATTCAACCAACAACTCGAGCATATATGACATAAATTCTAAATATATAATGGTGAATTTATTATTCATTATACTGAGCATATCCTCAGTAGTTTTTGATGGATCTGAGAGCACATATTCCCTGAAATACATATGCAAGGGAGCAAACTGTTCCAATATCCTATCTACACATGATTTTAGAGACAGCCATCGTGTGTTTGATGGAGATAGAATTTTGTGAATCTCAGTTCCAAAATATTCCTGAAATTCTTTGAATTTCTCAGTTCTCTGAGCACTTCTATAAAAATGAGAACCAATATTTCTCAACAAGTCTTCCACAGATCGTGAAAGTTCCATACATGCCTTAGAAGCACATAAATGAATCATGTGGCATGAACATTTCACTAAGACAATATTGGGAAACTCTTTCCTCAAAAGTGCAGCAACAGATTGATCTTTACCAAACATGCAATTCGGAGTATCTGATGAAAATCCAATTAGATTTGTTAGTGGAATCCTCTTCTCAGATATTGTATTTATCAAACATTGATATAAATCATTTGCAGTGCCAGAACAATGTTCTTTCATATCGAAAAACTGACATGCAACCTTGCACTGAGAGTTGTTGAAATAAATGATTGTGAATGCACAATGCTTCTTAGTGGTATTATCTGTGGTTTTATCCATAATAATTGAAAAAAATGAACCATCTTTCCTCAGACTGTCATAGAATGCTTCTTTGTAAGATACTGCAATACTCTTCCTCACTATTTGGGTAGCTTTCGTTCTTTGGAGTGCTAACTCTTGTGCTATTTTAGAATCAGGAAAAATGTCTTTGCACAGAGGAGTGAGTACATCCATTAAAGAAAATGGTAGGTTATTGGTAGCCAATAGGCCTGCCAGTTTTGTTTCAGCTTTTTTTCCAGCTGCTATCGGATTATCAAACATTTTTGATATATCCAAGGTATGGGCAACTTGTTTCATATTAAATTTGTGTTTATCAGATTCCATATGCCTTCTGATAGTTGCTTTATGTGCTAATACAGTGACTTTACTAACTTTGCAGAAACCTTGCTCGTTTTTACTTTCCCCAAACTTTGACTTTGACTTCACTAGCCACTCTTTGAACTCTGGAATGTTCCGCCAACTTTCAGAAAATATGTACTTTTTTTATTCATGTTTTTCTCCAGGTTTTTGTGACTGCATAATACGCAATCCGGAGGAGGAGGAAGATGCTTGATTTACTTGATTATTCATTTCTTTTCTTTTGCTCAATCTCAATATTCAATATTTCCTTACAAATAAATAATATAATCAATCACAGACAGTTCTTACACTTGACACTGACAGTAAGTGACAGTGCTCATGTGCTCAACATAGAAATCATAGAACACATTCGAGTAGATGGTGTTGTACGTTGTACGTGTTGTACGCTAGTTGCAATGTTATCTATGATCCATATCTATGCTAGTTCACAGGACCACGAGATGATAAAAGACTTCGATACTTCTTGTGAGATCAATGGAACAAATCTCTAAATTACACGAAAATATTCAATGCACGAATCCTACACACGATGCTCCCAGATTACACACATTTCGTGTAATTACACACTCATTGGCAACACTGATTCTGCGTGCGGTCTGGATCACCTTAGCGTATGATGCTCACGGGTTACGTTTCGAATGGATAAAAGATGCCCCAAGTGGTTCGAATATAGTTTTGATGACGGACCTGCAATCATATTTTCTGATAGTCTAGATGCATACAAGGAACGATATGGAACACTCCTTCTAAACGTACTACTCGCCTATGCTGAATAGGAAGTAATAAAATTCATAATTCTTGTCTGATTCCACTTTGTACCCCAAAATAAGCAAACATAATATTTTGAGCCCATAATATGAGTAGCAAAAATCGTCTGTGCACGAATGAAAAGCACATCGTTGAATAGACATTTTGATGCTTCTTCCAGATATGGCGAAAAAATTGAGAAATTCAAATGTATAGGGTGTTGTTTTCGAGCAGAAACAATTTGCAAATTTTAAGTGAAGCCGGACCTGGATCCTATCTTTTCTTGATGTCTCAATCAATTCAGCAGGGTTTATTGAGTGAGTGTAACAATTTCCAAAAAAATATACAGGTTGGTTGGAAAGTTATGAGACAATAAAGAAATAGGCGAAATTGATAAAACATCCCGTATCTCGATTATAAGATGTCGAAGAACCATCAACCATGGGTTTTTTCAAATCACCCCAGTGACCCCTATCCACAGTTGAAATTTTTACCTCTCCCAATGAAACACATATACATTTTGAACCCGCTACCCACTATCTCATTCCATTGCAAGACACTGTATGATATCATCGATAAGTGATCTGAAGACGATAAAGAATGATTTTTTTCTTAGGATGATGAGAATCATATACTCACTGATCATACAGGATCATCAGTGATGCCTCCTCATCATTATCATTTTCTGTTTTATAAAAAAAATAATATAACAGTTGATCATTTCAAACATGGTAAAACTTACAAATCAATCATTTCTACTTCATACCCCGCCATCAGTAAATTAAAGAAGGAATAAATGAATAAATGAAAAAACAGATGAACAAAAATCAGATAAATTTCTTATATTCGAAATGATTCGAATTATTCTAACGGATCATTCAGAATGAGCCATTCGTCCTTCTCATCTCAATCGTCTTCTGTTCTATCAGAAAAATAAAACAGAAACAATCACGAATTCAACATGATTCCCTGAAAATACTCATAAATCAATTATTTCTACATCTTCCCCAATCATTGATCTGGAAAAAATGAAAATAAATGAATAAATAATAAACAGTTGAGGAAAAACCAAACCAATTAATCATATAAAAAAAGAGAATAATACTCACGAATCAGTTAGTATAGCCCATTCATTCTCCTCGCTATTGGTTTCTGTTCTATCTAAAAGGAAAAAATAATCAGAAAAACATAATTCACTGGGAGTACTCACAAATCAATAATTGGTGAATTTTCCTCTTTTATCACCTCGACCTCATCCTCTTCCATCCTATGGAAATTATGGCAAGTTAGAAAATTTCTGGTATATTTCACAGTTGCGTCCACCGCTCATTTAGGAAAGCTCAGCCTCTGTGAAGTGAAATTCTGTGACTCGCTCAGGCACATTATTGATATTACAGAAATTGTTCCTGAGATGTGAAATAATACATATGGTTCATTTCTGAAATGGTATATTACATGACTAGTGTGGAAAGTGACTCATTTCCTACGAGTTGATATAATGTAACAAGTACATGAAATACACTTTCCAACGAGTTATGTACACTATTTTTCCTACGACCATAAATATTTGAATTATTTTTATATTCTGTGATGATGAGAACTGAGTAGTTATACTGCTTTTAATCAAATTCGATTACACGAAAATTATATTATTAGCTAATAGCTTGGTAGACCAGATGATAATTCGATAATAAGACACAAAACATAAAAAACAAATTCAAAATATTAAATTTTTCATCATAACATGTTATTCAATTATCATTGGAATTGATCCTACTTATTATTATACACGTTCATCTGTATCTAACTAATTATTTCTATCCATAGAATGAAAATTGAAGGTGATGTGGTTTCCTTGGCAATTCGTGAAATTCAATGGCGTGTTCATGAGTGGAGAATTGAAATTCTCTATAATTTCGTTAGTATTTTAAACTACTTTGATATTCCTTGTTGCTGATGGTGCTTGCCTATTAATGCCTATTATATGAACTTTTATGAGATTTTTCTCCAGACGGTGCTTGAATATTTTCTTTGCTGCAAGAAGCTACTGCGCCCATGATTTTTGTAGCAATATCAACTCTGTGACAGAGTCGTCGATGTATCCCTCTGCAACGGTTGAGGATTTCCATCCCCCGTGTCTTTTGAGAGTAGTCAGGTCTGCTCCGGCATCTACTAAAATAGTTGCTGATGATCTGCGAGAACAGTCACCAGTATACAATTCTGGATTATCCAGTTTCAAAAATGTGGCCACTGTTTTTGGTACACTACCAATTTCATTAATGCCGATTACGTGCTGCGTGCACTTTCCATTTTGGTGATTCGAAAATAACCTTTTTTCATCTGTTGGTGGTCTCAAATTTGCGTATTTCCTAGATATATCATGAAATAAACCAGAAAAGCCGAACTTTCGAGAAATTTTGTTCTTTCTATTTTCAAGTCTCACTATAGCTGCCGAGTTGAAGTCATGTACGTCGTCCACTGTCAATTGAACGAATTCTTGTTGGCGGCATGCCCATGATATCCCCAAGGTTGGTAGAACTGATGACTATTTTGTAGAGGAAGGTTGCCTCGATCGCACCCCGCGAGTAACCTTGAGTAACTCATGACGTAATAGGCCCTTTCTTTTGCACGAAAAGTGTACCACTCTCGTACACTTCGTGTATGATATGTACGCCGGCGATTGGCCGGCGCATGTATTGAGTTGACAGTTGTCAGTATTTTCGAATATTTGAACCATTTTGAACTTAAAAATGTAAAAATGATATAATTTGTTCGGTCTCTTCTTGTTAAAATTCGTACAAGTGTAATGAGACTAGTGAATTTAGTTTGTGTTTCCATTAATTTCCATAAGATGAGTCTCTTCGTGAGAAATGGATTCAATTTTGTGGACGTAATTTGAAATCATTTAATACCAGAACTTGGCGAATATGTTCTGCCCATTTCGATGCCGAGGCACAAGCAGAATTGCTATATCACACACCAAAGAGAAGAAAACTCAAGGTAGGAATCCCATCAATAATAGCAAATACAACAAGAGAAACACCATAAGTATGGAAGTTTGGAAAAATTATCAGAACCAGACTAGTTGTGAATGTTGAGATTCTTGCTGAACGGGTAAAATGGACATCAGAAGATATCACACGTGTTTTCAAGTTGAGATATTTGAGCAAGAGTACGTTACCCAATGAAGAGGAGCTATGTTTATTTGAGAGATTCCTTGAACTATCCTTTATTATAGGTTCACTTATAATAGTAGTGTTATTTTTCATCAATTTTGTTCAGAATCATATTTTGTTATTTTTTTATGCTCAAATACTTCGATCAATTGCTCTGTTTTTGACTACAATATAATCAAACAATGAAATACTATTTCCTCTTGTATTTTCTATAGGTATCTAGGAAAGTTTGTTAATTTTTCAGAATACAGAGTTATATTGATAAAATAAGTGATCTCTGTTGTGTACGAATATTGGTCCACTGCTACTACTTCTGGATCATCAGTTGATTATTTTTATATTTTCTGTAGTTTCTTGTTCACATTATCTGATTTGCAGGATATTTATAGGATGAGTAGGTTCATAATCAATGCATAAGTAATCACTAGCTCCATAATTATGCTCCATACCTCAAAACACAAATACCTGGTACCACGACCTGGTAAATAGCCCCTGGAACAAAATTTCAGATAGGTATTCCTCTCTGTACTACTGATCCATCCAAAATTGCCTTCTCATCTCGAAGATTGAAGGTATTATACAGAAGTATATGTAAATATCTATATTTTATAATGGTACTTACTTATAATTATATACTATAAATTAATATATGCTGAGCAGACCAAAAAGTTTGTATCATGTTTGTATACTCTATTTGGTAAACATTTCATGACATGTCGCTTCAAGGTTGACAACTTGTCGTCTTACTGCCTGTGACGTCACGAGTGACCGTTTCCCCCCTTGCCGCACTATCGATCGAGGCAACCTTCCTATACAAATTATAATCAGTTCTACCAACCTTGGATATGCCCATAATGAGTGCCACCTTTGAACGTAATAATTATTATTATCATTTTTTTTTTTGCGCTTTTGGTATCGACTGCTGAGGTCATTGCCATATTCCAGTGCGTTCTGAAAACACTGTACATTTTACATCAT